ATTATTATTATTATTGCAATACTGTTTTTTGTATTTTAATATATTTATAAATGTCATTTATTTCTTTAATGCAAAGCTGAATTTTCAGCAGCCAGAAATCATTCTAACATTCTAATAATTTGGTGCTCAAGAACATTTTTTTATCATCTATGTTGAAAACAGTGGCGCTTAATATTTTTCTGCAAACATGCATTTTTTCATTATTTTTTTTTCTTTTTGATGAATAGAGAGTAAAGGTGTATTTCACATTTTTTAAATAGCTTTTTTGTTACTATGTACAAGTCTTTACTGTCACTTTTGATCAATTTCATGCATCGTCTTAAAGTATACATTTCTTTAAGAATTAGTCCTGCTAATGCTACTCAATAAAATGAAATCATACTTGTAAAATACAACGTTGGGTCTCACCTGAAAGCCTTGAGTAGTGTTTATGTCTGCTTCTGGCAGCACTGCATCACCAGGCTGATACGACACTACAACAAAAACCAGTACATGAAAGCAAAGATCCCGTCAGCTCTAATATTAGAGGAAGAGTTAACTAATAGGTGATTATTTGTGATTCTTTTTATACATACGAGACGGAGAACTACAGGGCATTTGTGTAGGATTTGGCGAGTGGGAATGTGAAGGAGAGGGATCACAAATCAATTCACTGGTATCCTGCACAGAGAGACATAATAGATTTAAACAGCATTACATTCATATACAGTATGTGTAATGTAAACAACCTCTCCAATCCTCCTGACCTCTATTTCTGAGTCGCTGGGGTCAGGCTGAGCTGGAATGGCCCCAGTGAGAAAGGGAAGCATGGGTTGACCCATCTTGGCTATACGTGAGATTAGCTTGGATTTGGAAGCACCTGAACTCTACGAGAAAGAAATATATTTGGAGCTTCAGCATTTTAGCCACTCCTGGCACATGGCATCTGTCTAAATGTTACTCACTGTCAGGGATACCGATTCCACCTTCCCCTTGGGTGCTTGGACTCTGAATACAAATGATCAATAACTTGCATAAATTCATAAAAATCAGCTTACTGACGTATGTCGTAAAGTCCCCTAATTAAAACACCCGTTTAACAAAATCTTCATATTTAACCTTTCAATACGTATACCGCTTAAAAAATCATTGTATTGATTTTTTTTCTCTATTATTTTTTATGTTTTAAGCATAAAACTGGCTAAATGGTGTTAGATTTATGCCTAAATCTAGAAAAAAAA